TGCCATTTAGTAGCTGAAATGTAGACGCATATGCAGATCCCGTGAGCAAATTTAATATTTTTTAAAAAACACAGCGAAATATCAGTCATAAAATGTACTTTGAATGTAGTCTTCAGAACAGGCGTTCACAGCATCCTTAATCTAATTTGGCGGTGGATGCTGTTTGGGTGTTTTACTAAACAGATACCAATTCATTTCTCGTTAAGCATTACTGAGTGCTTAGTATGCTCGGTATTGAAGATACAGAAAAATGATACAGACCTTCCTTCGAGGACCTTTTGGGAGTGTGGCAAGTAAAGCATGACAAGTAAGTGCTCATCAGACTGGTGTGGAACCACATGGATGGCATGCCCAACTTTTTCATTCATATCATTCGGAACATGTATTTATTGAGCATCGGCTTGTCAGGCACTGTTCTGTATGCGAGAAATAAATGCAAGTCATTTGTAGCTTGCATTCGAGTGAAAGGAAGCTAAAAATAAACATACAAGAAATTATGTATTGTCCAGAATAGTATGGATTAAAAAAATACCAAAAGGAGGGTGATGGAGAGGATGTTGCTATTTTATACAGGCTGTCAAGAAAGGCTTCTCTAAGCCACACTGAAGGAAAGACCTGAAGAAAATGAGAGCGTGAACTACAGAAGAGTGCCAGGAGGCTGGAGCAGCTTGTGGAAGGAGGAGGCAATTAGTAAGTGAAGTTAGAGTTGTAGTCACGATTGATCCAGAGCAGCGTTTCTCAACCCTGGAGTTTGGGGGTAGGATAATTCTTCATTGTAGATGCTATCCTATGTGTTGTAAGATACTTAACAGCATCCCTGGCTTCTACCTACTAGATGCCAGTAGCATCTTCTCTCTCCACTTACAGAGACCAAAAATGCCTCCAACTTGCTGAGTGTTTCCTGGGAGACAAAAAAAAAACACCCTTAGTTGAGGATCACTGATAATGAACCATCTGTCCAAAGTGCTTTCTAAGATGATGGGAATGTTCTATATCTGTTTTGTCCAATACAGTAACCATCAGCCACATGTGGCTCTTGAGCTCTTGTAATGTGGCTAATACAACTGAGGAACTCAATTTTACATTTCAATTTTAATTATATTTTCATAGCCACATGTGGCTAGTGGCTACTGTATTAGATAGAACCTTGCCATTATAGACTTTGGCTTTTATATTTTTACCTTCCTGCCTTCATTTCCAGTTATTCTTTCTCACTCCAGTCTAGTCGCAGTGGTTCCCTTGCTGTTTTGTTATTTTTAAGATTTTTTAAAAAATTGATCTTGAGGGAGAGAAACATCGATATCAAAGCATAGCATTGATTGGCTGCCTCCTACACAACCCCTATCGGGAATTGAGCCCAATCTCCACACCTCTAAGGGCTGTTTCCATTAAATCATGTTCTGGCAGTTTCACTTACTGAATGGTTTTGAGGAAAGAAAAGTTTTCTTGATTAGAGTGGTTTGGGGTATTAGGTCTTACTATTAAAATATCCATTCACCCCAAAGTAGTTAAGTACTTCTTCAAATTTCCTGGAAACTGAGCTTCTGAAAAGGCTGAATTTAAGGCAACATAGTTTACCTCCTCTAGGGAAATAATGAAGAACATTGTTGCTTTAGGTCTGCAGTTTTCAAATCTTAGTGTGTATCAATCACCTGGAGGATTTCTCAAAAACAGATTGGTCCCTCACCTGACCAAAATTTAGCATTTCTAACAAGTTCTGAGATTCTGCTGCTTTGGAGACCATTGGTGACCATACTGTGGAAGAAAATAAAACATCAAATAGCTGTCTGTAGCCGACTTCATCCTTTGTCTGTGAAATCACTGATCCTCAGGCAAGTCTGGCCCTCTCAATTTGAATGTATTAGATCCACTCATGATCTGTATTTGTAGGAAAAACAGCATGGCAGAATGGAAACTGGATTATGGTTTTAGGACACATCTGACTTTTCAGTTCCACCTATTTATTAGCTATGAGACTTTATTTAACCTTTCTGAATCTTGATTTTAAAAAGCAGTGTTCTTATTTATTGTTTTAACAATTAGGGGTTACACGTATAGTTTGTACACTAATTTAATAAAACAAGAAGCCATTTCTTCTCCAGGTGTTGGACCCATAAGGCATGAACTTCTCTTGCACTTTTAATTTTTATTCCATGTACTATTGGATTGCCTCCATTGTAAATCTTGATGTAGAGCCAAAACTTGTCTCTGTTATCAGTTGGTTCTTGAAATCAGCATGGATCTTACGCTATGAAAACAACCTATTTATTTGAAAGGTACTTAGTAATATTTGATTGCTTCTCAGAATTCCTCAAGTTTCAGGAAAAAAGTATAGATAACCCCAATAATTTTATCTAAATACCTCAAAGCATTTAATAGTCTAAGACCATATAGTCATAAATCATAGACTGAGAATTCTAGATCTCAACTCTATGCTTTAATAACTTTCTCATAGTGTTTTTCAAAGCATAACATTTGTAACATGTACAAAATAGTGTATTTAACACAGTATATGTTCTATCATTTGCAGTACTATCTCATCACATTAAAGAGGTCCTTTTTCTACATCAGGCCCATTTTTTTCCAGTTGCAAGTTATAGCAAAGTGGAGGGGGTTTTCCTGTTAGTGAACCAAAAATGTAGGAGCCCTCACTTTTAGACACAGATTAATTGGCTTAGACATTTTCCCATTGAAATGTTTTTGTAGGTGGTTAATTTTCATCATTATTTACATCTTATTTCCAAATGACTTCAGTTTTTGTTTTAAGTTCCAGCAAAAGCTCTTCATCTTTGAAGAATTACCAACGTAAACAAATCCATCCAGTCTCGCTTCTGATAGTTGTCTTCCACCTACCTCACACTGAAGCCATTTACTTGAAATGACTTCCGTAACCAGCATTCTAACAATGTGTAATTCCTGCATGTGGACATTAGTTAAAATAATTTCTAAAAAGGTCTACTTAATTAAACTTATATTTATTTTTTTCTATATTTTTAAAAATCACTTAATAATCTAAACATGATATGAACTGAAATACCTCATTCTCTTAAAAGACATAATAGAAATTTCTTATTTAACATATACCTATTAAGCCTATTTCCTTTGAAGGGTTGTGTTACACAAAAATGAACACTTCAGCCCAGCGGGTGTGACTCTATGGTTCGATTCCTGGTCAGTACACATGCCCTGATTTCAGGCTTGATCCCTAGTAGAGGGCATGCAGATGGCAGCTGATCAATGATCTCATCATTAATGTTTCTCCCTCTCTCTCTCTGTTTCCCTCTGAAATCAATAAAAATATATTTAAAAAAAATAAAGCAGCTTAAAAAAATGAACACTTCATTACCAATAAGAACAATGTTTTATTGAACAAATCTATGTACAGTACAAAAAACTTCTTGAAATGAGACACTATTGTTTATTGCAGTTCAATGGCTCAGTTTTAATTTGTACTCTTATAAAATGCAAAGTAAAATAATTTAATGTTCAACAAGGAAGCACAAATTCCTTTCTTGCTGAAACTGTAATATCTTTCACATATTAACAATTCCAAAATGCATATGCAGCATTTAGTCATTCTGAAAGGTGTTTTACAGTACCAAATAAATTAAAAAATAAACACTATCATCCCTTTTAGGTTTTTCATCCATACAACAGTTTAAACCAAACACAAAAGGAATACGGCTGAACCTTCAAGTGTGATTTCAGAAGAATCACAAGTTCAATGTTATAAATTATCTACTCATTATATAATTGGTGGTTTAAAAAAACAAATATGGCTAAAGCCCAAAGTACCAGTGTCCTTGTCCACGGAGATTCCTTTTTTACCTCTCCCAAAATATCTGAGCAGCAAAAATTCAGATTTGCTATTTTCTTGACCTTACTGAAACATAGAAAGTTAGTATGTAATGTTTTGAAGGCAATTTTTTTTATTTAAAAACATAGGATTGAAACTTGGTCCATGTAAGTTAAACATATCCTCAAAACAGAAGGAGTAAAAAAGAGAATAAATTGAGGAAGAAAGCTTCCTTTTCTTCTGGATCCCAAACTAGAATTGTTGGAAGTTTATGCATCCTCTACAAGCAAAATGACGTAAGTTTGTGTTTTATAAAACATACATAAAATGTACACATTCTTTCAATAACAATTATCTGAGAAATATATAAAGAGTGAGAACAATGTGTTCAAATAGAATTTTATAAGACATTCCTTGATTTATGTATAAACCGATTTATCAATCTCCCAAAGTTTTTCCTTAGCAACATAATAGAAATAAAACCTCAAAGACATAAAATAACATATGCAATATATTTAAAAACCTCTTGGTATGAACTGCAAAATGAATGAAAATAATTTGTAGACGTGATAGTTTCAACTTGCAAAAAAGTAAAGAGTTAAAAATGTTAAGTGGTAATTTTAAACTTCCGGAAAATGAAGCAGAAACTATATTTCAAAAATAACTTTATTGTCCAAATGAACTAGTTTCCAGACAGACTTAATTACATGATTATTTTAGACTAAACTGAAGTAGATCTCAAGTATTATATTTTTAGTGTCAGGGAGTATGGAAAAGATTTTAAGTTGACCTTAAAGAAATAAAAAATCTAATTGATTTGTGTTTACTTATGCAATTTAGATGTAAATTCCACAGCCTAATGTAGGCTACAATAAAAATAAAATTAAAAAACAAAAACCTAAATTTTATTGGAATGGATTTATGACTGTCAATTGTATAGTAGTGAATGCACATGATAACTAAGCTAATAAAATTGGGAAATTTTTTAGATATCTGACCTACCATGATCTATTGTGACTTGGAAATCTTAATTCAATAGTCTAGATCAGTGATGACGAACCTTTTGAGCTCGGCGTGTCAGCATTTTGAAAAACCCTAACTTAACTCTGGTGCCGTGTCACAGAGAAATTTTTTTATATTTGCAACCATAGTAAAATAAAGATTTATATTTTTGATATTTATTTTATATGTTTAAATGCCATTTAACAAAGAAAAATCAACCAAAACAATGAGTTCTGACACGTGTGTCATAGGTTCGCCATCACTGGTCTAGATGATGCCCTGGAAGAAGTGTCCCACTTGCTTGGTAACTTCATTCAAGAAACGTTAATATGCCAAAGTTTAACATTCAAAATATATGGATATAGTAGGCTCTGATCAGATTATCTGCTTTGAACAAAAATGTGTCAGTTGGAATACTGGAATATTTATTTGGTTGACATTGGTACATTACTAGCCCAGTTTTTGAAGAATTTGCCTTTGCATTTTTCATTTTATCCCTGCTATAGATTAACACATTATTAGGTAAAGGTCTTTAGTTTTCCTCTTTTAGAGAATGTACAAGTAGAACACATCTGAGAGGGTATTTTTAAAAACATTTTTTTTGTATTAATTTATTAAGTTAAAATCTTCCTTAGGAAAATTACTGGTCATCAAGGAAAATAAATGCATCAATATATCTTACTGTGTTCTTGCTGTGCAAATTTTTATGTAAATATTTCCTTTCATATATATATAAAAATCATCAATCAGACCAAATCTATCACTAATAAATAAGAAAGCATGAGTAGTATGGCTTATTTTATAACTAACTATTCTAAATGAATAAAACCAAAGTGTTCTTGACCTGATTCTTAGCTTACATATTTTTTACAGCCAGTTTTTATAGGACTGTACTTAGATAACTCACATTAATGTCTAAAGGACCTTACTATGAATCATCAAGCAATGTCCCAACACTACTCTATATACAAATAGAAATATCCCAGTGTGCTTATACCATTATTCACATTGAGGAATTTGCAATCAGTGTTTTCCACCAACTAGATAGCCTTTAATGGTCTTAAAATTCTTCCCATCTATCCCCAAAGTTACCAATGGTACTTCTTCTATTTAATTGACACTGCTGCCTTTATAATTCATTGGTATCACAAAAATGGAAAGTGGAAGGTTCCAGCAAAGCACTGTTTTGTCTTTTGGTTTTTTAGTTTTAAATACTGGCATGCCATACATTGAACTTTGACCTGTCTATTCAATCATCTGGAACAAGTTACAATCTTTTATGGATAGAACAGTGATAAATCAAGTTTTATTTTCATGTATCAGTTTCTAAATTATAATAAACCTAGTAGTGATTCCTTAAGCCATGTTTGATCAGAAGGGAGGTCAAAATCTGATTATACATGATAAGTCAACCATCCCATTTGTAGAATACTTTAAGTTGTTTATTGTAAACCAATCCCTCCCCCTTTTCAAATGGATTAACTCCCTTTCTGTAAGGCCATAGCTGGTTTCTCTTTCTGACTAGTTGCCTGAACAAGTTTCTCACTTAAGCGAAACTGAACGTGCTGCTATTAATCTCATGAACTTTTTTTTAAAATGTGGTTTTCTGGATAACTGGTACTTTGGGAGTTTTGTAATAACCCTTTTGGAATCTGAACTAGCACATCTCTGTGAGTTCATTCTAGACAATGTGCTTTGTCTTTAACTAATCCTAGACCACTCTAAAATTAAGGCCGTCAGGGAAATAGCAAACGGATGATGCATTTTCTTGTAGTGCTTTTTTCACACTACTGCTTGATCGACAGATCTTTCTGATACATTTTTATCAGGCACCTGTAAAACAAAACATGTCTATTAATTCAAATTTTATAGATGTTCAACTGGAACTCTAAGTCAGATTCCTGCTTATTTACACCCTTACACATTGAAAGAATATTGATAGTGGTAAAAAGGCAGGCAAGTTCTTCTGCTCATTTTTGTCTTTCATTTATTTTCTGATTCTTTTAAATTGTATTTGTAAAGAGGCTCAGTTTCACTTGGATTATAATACAACATGCAGATGAAAAACACTTCCATCATAATTACTTTGTCTCTAGAACCTTAAGTACATGAAACCTAGAAAGAAGAAAAGCTTCAAATACAGTAAAAATGATCAAAGAGTATGGAAAACCTGTGTACAAGTTCTGGCTCCCACAAGTTCATAGGCCTATGCCAATGCAAATTACTTAACTTGTGAATTTGAGTTTGATCTATAAAACAGGAATAGTGACATCACCTTATAATGGTTGTATAGACTAAAGGAAATAATGTATAGTTAGTTCTTTATTATCTACTAGAGGACCAGTGCACGAAAATTCATGCACTGGAGAGTGGGGGGGTCCCTCAGCCCGGCCTGCGCCCTCTCATAGTCCGGGAGTCCTCAGAGGATGTCCTACTGATGGCACAGGCCTGCTCCCTGAGCCACAGTCTGGCCTCCCTCTGCAGGAGGTGACCGAACAGGGGACGCCGCCGCCCCCATTACCCTGCCGCTGCCCAGCCTCCCTATGCGGGAGGCGACCTGACGGGCCCATCAGGGGACGGTGTCAGACCCCCCTATTGCCCTTCTGCTGCTGCTGGTTGCCTCACCCCCCCACCATCGTTCCCTCCCTCTGCCCACTGGCACGTGCCTTGGCCGGCCTGGTGCCGCCTGCCCCGCACCCCGCGTTCCGCAGTCCTATCAATTTGCATGTTACGCTTTTATTATATAGGATGCTATACAAATGTTAACTTTAAAGACCTGTGGCATTTTCTATTTCTACAGATATACCTACTGAGAAGATAGAAGACTTACTTTCATCATCTGAATCAAATCCAAAGAGTGCCTGACATTTCTTTTGTGCACGGTGAGCCTCAAGTGCTTCTGCATTACAGTAGGTGGTCAGGCATTTGCCACATCTTAATCTTTTCACTGATTTTTTACAAATGTTATCTTGATCAGAACAGGCATCTATTCTATCAGTCAGAAATTTTCTGCGTTTTGGCATACTAAGGTACCGTTCATCAAGGTAACTGGGAGGCAATGGTCTGACATATGGCTTTGATAAAATTAAGCCATATGAAGTATGTTCACTCATCAGATTTGGTTTGGATGGTGCCTGAGATACTGGCAGGGTACTGTGTTCTTGTGATACAACATTGGGTAAAATGGAGCCATTTTCTGTTCTGATTCTATTTGTATCAATTTTCATAGCAGAACCTGATGAAACTAAAGATGTCTGTTCTATTCCACCGTGTCCATTGACTAAATCAATAATACTACAATTATTTTCAGAATTTGGCTCTAGGTCAGGCATCTTTTGGTCTGTCAAGCTTATATCAGAAACAGTGTCATCAGAATGTTCATTTCCATTCTGAACTAAACTGTCTGTCTTCTTTTCCATACTGTCTATACATGTCTTTGGTTCTGTAGAATCTTTCCTTGATTTGCTAGTACAAACTGGCAGGCTAATAGCTTGTTTCTCATTACTAGATGAGTCTTTTTCCTGATAACTATTATTTGAGTCTGTAAGAACATCCCAAGCAACTGCTTCTCTTGGTTGTGCAGATGATTCTGGTGTTTTACTTAAATAGTGCTGAGCTTCATGTTCATATAACAGAGGAAGATCTTCAAAAAGCTCATGGCATTCTGGAAAACTACACTGGGCCTGAAATATTCTGTGACTTTTTGTGTGCTGAGCAAGCTGGAATGGCAGCTTAAACGATTCATTGCAGTTAAAATGCAAACAAAAGTACACATTTGGATAGCTGTGTCTATTAAGGTGATCTATAAAATGCTGAGAATCTTCAAACTGCCTTTGACAAAATTTGCATTTTCCTTTGCTCCACTTCATTACCGTTTGTCGCACATTTAAGTCAGTTGGATGTGCAGTCCTTGCATGTTTATTGAGAAATCCAATTCTTTTAAATATCCTAACACAACCAAGAGCAGGGCACTTAAAGTTTCCTTTTTGATCTATATCATATATGTCTTTTGGATGGCACAAAGTTCCATTAATTTTATGAAGTGCTGGAGTTTCTTGATTCAGGTCATAATCATCTTCTTCATAATCACCTTCTTCATCCTCTTCCTCCTCGTAATCATCCTCACATACAATTAAAGGTTCCAATACATTATTTATATAAGTGTCAGGACTGCCATTTTCAATGTTTTCAATGACATCTTCTGATACACTTACGGGAATTTCAGTGAATTCAGCCACATGCTCAGGGATGACTGCTTCGTTTCCATCATTGGAAGTATTACTAGTCGGTATTTCCAAATCTTTATTATTGAAATCTCCGTTTTCAAATGAAATTGAAGAATTGGAAAAGTTTATTTCTTCCAAAGCAGGAGTTTCCTGATCCTCCTGTTGAGCTACAGTAATTTGATGTCTTTGTATTTTTTTAACATGATTTTTTAAATGCTTCTGCATAAGTCCTCTGTTTCTAAATTTCCTACCACATATAACACAGGAAAAACTGCCCTTTTTCTGATGAGCCTGGGCATGCCTTACAATGTGACCACCTAGAAATTCCTTATTACATAACATACATCGATGCCTTGGGACACTGTGGTCTACTTTAGAAGTGTTAAGAGCAGTAAGGTTTTTCTTTGTGTTAACATGGCCTTTAGGTTGTACTCCAGATATATCATCAGGATCAAGCTCTCCAGTGCTTTGATCTGTAAAAGAGTCAACACCTTCATCTAAACATTTCTGTTCCAATGTCTTTTTTAGATTACCTATAGAATTTTCCAGTGTATTTTCATTTAGAAATTTGATTGCTGATTTATCACTCAGTAATGCTACACAGTTTTTCTTAATCATTACAAAGTTCCAGAATTCAGGATCAAAAAACAATCCCTTTTTCAAAATTGGAAGTAATTCAAAACGAACACGATTTTGAACACTACTGGTGCCTTCATTATATTCTTCATCTGGACATTTGTAAAGCTCTTCAACAGTGTGATAAGCTTCCAAGGAGCGCTCAAGAAAAAATATTGAGAGTGCACAAATCCTGAGGATCTCCAAATCATTTGGCAAGAAATGTGCAATTGTTTTATAAATTAGACACTTAGTTTTGGGATCATCATGAAGGTCTAGTTGTAGAGCACAACCACATATTTCAACACAAATTTGTAAGCCTTCTTCTTCAACCTGAATAAAAACAAAATATACATATATATATATTACTACTAAATACCTTTTAAATATTATACAAACTAGTTTATCTTTTTAAATTAAAACTCTGAAATGAAAGCTAAATAAACACAGTATTTCAATTGTACAATTTTCCTTAATGGGTAGCCTTAAATCTTTTGTAATATGTAAATAAATCTTTTTAAACTTGAGAATAATTTGCAAAAGATAGCATTTTCACTTCCAATTTATTTAATTTTTAAGTTTGTTAAGACTTATCGTATTTAGGCTAAGTATCCAGTCAGCCATTCAACCAATCAAAGTGTAATATGCTAACAATATGCTAAGGCTGCTCAACCACTCGCTATGACATGCACTGACCACCAGGGGGCAGATTATCTGACTAGTAGGTTAGCTTGCTGCTGGGGTCTGACCAACTGGGACTGAGCAAGACGGGCCAGACACGCCCTGGAGCCCTTCCTGGCTGGCCAACCTCCTGCATCCCTCCCCGGGCCTGATCGTGTACTGGTGGGGTACCTTGGCTTGGCCTGTGCCCTCTCACAATCCGGGACCTCCTGGGGGATGTCAGAGAACCGGTTTCAGACTAATCCTGGGACCCCACTGATGCACGAATTCGTGCACCAGGCCTCTAGTCCTATCTAATAAAAGAGAAACATGGTAATTAGTGTACAACTGCTACCCTTCCCATTGGCTAATCAGGGCAATATGCAAATTAACTGCCAACCAAGATGGCGGCTGGCAGCCAGGCAGCTGGAAGCGAAGATGAGGCTTGCTTGCTTCAGTGACTGAGGACTCCAACGTTCCCTGCCTGCTGCTGCCGGCCTCTGAGCTGCAACTCTAAGCAACTATGTTACAAATATAGAAGCTAAACAAAACTCCAGAAACCTGCTGTAGTCGCTGGGCTTCAGCCAGCAGGATTGCAACATGGTTACAAATACAGAAGGTAAACAAACGCAAGAAACCTGCTTTCAGCAGCGGAGGCCTAAGAGCTGGAGACAACCTCAAAGCTAAAGCTGGCCCAGAATAAAAAAAAGAAAAAAAAGAGAAAAGGAGCAGTTGGGAGCTTCAGTCACCCCCAGCCTGAA